GGTACACTGAAGCCCACCTTGCCAAGGGGAAGAGCGTTTTCCTCGAGCAGATGAAAAAATTTGTGGAGTGGCTGAAGAATGCTGAGGAAGGTAAAGATGGAGAAATAACCTGCACTTCCTGGGTTTTGTGTGTTTTGAGGAGCTGTGTTCAGAGCTGATGGCATATGCTCAAAACCTGAAAGGCCACTAAAAGGTTAAAGGAGCTCTGCATTGAACAGGCCAGTTAGACATGCACCTGTCACGTTGTATGATAAAGGCAAAGCTTTGTTTTAGCTTGTTAGCTGATTCAATCACAGGTCAATAAGAAATGCTTGATATAAGTTTTACAGTCGCATGACTACTACCCACATGGTAATTGATGCTGGCATGTCAGGTAACCGAGCTCGATTGGTCCACAACTGGTTGAAGCACCACAAATGCTCTGTGGTGTGGCCATGTAATAGGAAGTCAAGCACCATAATCTGGCTGGTCATCTGTGCTAGTGTATCAGGAAAATGTTTGTTATAAAACTCGAGATTAGCTAAAGCTGTAGCTTTAGCCAATATGGCGCTGCTCACCAAAGTATAATGCAAAATACCTCTATAAACGGCCCTAGAGACCGTTTATAGAGGTATTTTGAGGTAAGTGGTAAGTGGCAATCTTGCAAACGACAATCGCCAGGGAGAAATGTTCATTTGCAGACGAGCTGGTGCTTGGCGAAATTGATCACAAGAGGGGGCTGAACCAAAAACCTGGTTACTAGTACTTTGCTTGGAAGATGCAAACTGTTTCCTGAGTGGCAGGGAAACTTGAAATAAGTCCAAAAAAGTTCCTCTAAAGTCATCGGTTGCTACTTTTTTGCAATATATTTGCAGAGTTGAGGTACAAGTTCAATTTCTCCAATTCTGGCTTATGTCAAAAGTTTCACACCCACTTGGCGAGTTGTTTGCAAGTATTTTGTCTCAGTTGCTCCTAGTTTGCAGGTTTTGTCTGTGCAATTGAGACACTGTCACCAATCAAAGCAATCAAGGGGTTTCCATGCAGCCTCTTTGTTACTGATTTTACCCAGCACTAATAAACTGGCCAGAATACAAGTTTCTCTAGTGACTGATGGTTGCCAGGCATCACAAACAGTCTCTAATCCTGGGAGAGTGAGTATTTTCCTTGTTTGAAATCCTCTGAAACCAGATCTGCGTTTAGTCCTGATGCAAAGGATGACGGCATGTTTGGTTTTTAGTGGCGAGTTCTTCACGTGCACAGGGTGCTGGAGGCAACCAGGTAGTTGGGGAGGGTCTCAGTCTTTAAATGACTGTACAGTCATGAGAAAAAGGACGTCTTCAGTACTCAGACAATCACAATCAAATCATCGTTTTACTCATTCACAAGATGTTGTAAAGTGATCAGCGTCTTGACTGATTCGTCCTCTTGTGTTTTCTCTCGGCAGAGTCGGAATCGGAGGAAGAGGAGGCGGACTAAAACCTCAATTGCCAGACGAGCTTCGTTTTTCTTTTGTTTTTCTTTTAAAAAGTAGGAGCAGGAGCAGTAGAATGTCTTTGCCCTTTTCCCTCCTTCTACATCCTGTTACGGTTTATTTATCCACAAATGCAAACAAACCTCCACCACTAGCAAACGTTTAGTTTGTCCAAATAAAACGGGTCCTTAACTCGCAGTGGGAGCAGAAAATGACAAATTCTCCCCTTCTCTTCCCTTCTTTGGTCATTTTGATGCCCTCTGTAATTTGGATTATGAAAACGTGTTTGATTTTCAGTGGCTGCTGCTCGTAAGTCTGAGGTTCATCTTCATGCGACTACAGCCAAAGTCTTTTCTTTTCTCCCACTCTTTATTTTTTTTTTCTCTTTTTAAAATTGACTCTGCTTATGTTTTGGCTCCTGTTCGGTCTTAAACTTCGCCTTCTTGACTTTTTGGGTAAACTTGTACTGCCTGTCGAGGTCGCTCCAGTCAGTTTGTCAGAAGACACGCCCCCCTGTAAAATGCCTCGCCAGCTAACGATTATTATTGGTTTCTACTTTCTTTAATCTGATAAGCCGATTTGACTTTTTTATGAAATAAAGATTATTGAAACTGTTCTTCCTGTGCTTTGTTTTCATTTTACTTCAGTAATTGTAACTTTGGTCTCTAGGACTATGAAGCTACAAATGGTGAACCATGGCAGGTCGCTAGGGACAATTGTGACCACCTAGGGAACGCAAACTAGAATTTGGACTCAAGTTTAAAGCATTTCAGTCTTTAAAGGGGTTGCTGACCAGTCTGTAGACATGTCTGAGGCTTAACTATGCAAAGAAAGCCCATTCTGATCTTAAGTGGGCCAAAGGGGTGAGATTCCTGTTTCCAGTGTAAATAAGTTTACACATTTAATTTTAAAACTGGGAAATGTTAATAAAATTAGCTGAAAATGCACCAGCGTTGGCCATGAGCTAATTTTCAGCTGTAGTCCCAGTTTGGGTCTTGAAAGAACACTAGAATCAAAACGCATCAATTTTATATAAGAAAAAGGGACATACTGGAAAACCCATGCTAAAGTAAAACTAGCTCAGTACTGACAGATTATCATTCAACAGTCTTCAATTTTCATTGAAAATGTGTTCTGATCTTTGAAACTAATGGGTGTGATCTTCCACTGTTGCACAGCCTTTACAGAAAATGCATTAAGACCAGACATCCTTTAAAGGAATAATACAGCCCTGTCTATTCAAATGTGTAACTTGGTCTCTTTTTACCCTGGTGGTAATGAACTAAATCAATGAGGAGCTATATTGTTTCATAATTGATTTAATTAAAGATGTGAAGAATTCATGTATTTGATAAATGCACTAAACTTGTGATATGGGTTTTTAATGCATCTATTATATAAAGAGTAAAGGTTTTAACCCATTGAAACTCAGCTGAACAAAATAATACTAAAATAATATGGAGGACAAAATATGTGTAACTTAAGCTGTATGAACATATTTCATATATATTTGAAGTTGTCAATATTAAATTTAACTATATTACAAATCTTTTTTTTTTAAATTGGGCCTTAAAGTTTAATTTAGAGTTGATCTCTAAACATTTGACTCATAACATCCTGATTTTTGTTTTTCCACTTGATTTGGTAAAAGATGCACGCTGTCTTAGATGCATTTAAATGAAAAGGAGAATGATTCAGACGTGGTAACGCTTGTTTAGCAGCACTATTACATCATCTGCATACACATATTAGCTCCAGAGCAAGCAGATGGAAACTCTTTAATATACAAAGAAAACAAGAGGACCTATGATTAAACCTTGAGGAACACCTGTGGGTACGCCCTTAAATATGGTGGAAGTTAGTTTTTAAACTCCTGAACCATATACAGTTTGCAGAGGAAAAATTACAATGATCTGTTTTGGAGACCAATATACAGTGTCATAACAGTTTCAAATGCTTTCACCTTTTCTGTAAAAATGATGAAATAATGGAATGATTGGCTTGAAGACTAAACTCCATTTTGGTGTTAAAAAGTACAATCGCTGTTTGAATAAGTGAAACTGATCAGCTATCAGTTTTTCAGCTACTTAGATAATTAGCAGAATCCCGATTGGTATGTAAGTATCAAGAACTTAAGGATTGCCTGTGTGCAAGGGTGGTTTCCAAATACTTGGGAACAATCCCTTGGCGATCAACAAATTGACCCTTTCTTACAACTGGATTTACAAACGTGTCTCTCAGATCTTTGATTATTACTGTGTCCATAACAAAAATATTGTTTGGAGAGAGATAAAACTAACAACTTTAGAATTGGGGAAAAAGGGCGTAAACACAAAGCGCGACCCGCCAACAGATCAGAATCAGCGAGCTGTCGGCTTTCCGCCCCGACTGTGTCCGTGCCGTCGGATGAGAAAGGCGACATCTCACTGATTCTGGCT